AGAGAGAGAGAGAGAGAGAGAGAGAGAGAAAGATCACCCATAGATTACCCATCATAGCTAAATTAGAGTACCATCTTTCCCAGAACCCTTCAGATGGTCAAAGTCAATAGCCACTCCTATCCCCTAAAATGCCTAATGAAAAAAAGAAAGGGAAACTGTGAACCCATGGCCTCTTTCTCTTTGGAGCTATTTGCCAGATTTCATTATACAAAGAGACATGTCACCTAAGAATTCCCTAGGTAGATGTGTGTGTGTGTGTGTGTGTGTCTGCAATCGAAGGTCTTATTATGCTGCCCAAGCTGGTCTCAAACTCCTGGCCTCAAGAAATCCTTCTGCTTTAGCCTCCCAAAGTGCTGGGATTATAGGCATGAGCCACCATGCCATGCCTCTGGGTAGGCTTTTAAATTATATATAGACTACCTGTATAAAAACTACATCAAATGTCTTCCAAACTGTGTGGTTATCAGCCAAGATATGTATCAGAATCTCCCGAAGATGGTTGTCACAACGCTGATGGGAACCTCGTTTGATACCAACCAAATGAATTAAAACCCGAGACGGGACACTGGCGTGAACATGTTGGAAACACTTCCTGGATGACTTTAATCAACTCACCTGATTAGGAATCTTCCATCTTTAAGGAAGAGACAAGTGAAGCCCGCCACCACACAATATTTAGTGGCAGGCATCTTCACAGCAAGCTTGGTACTGGTTTCCCTGCATGCTGCTGATGCACTCAGTGTGGTTTGCTGCCTGCTTCCTCTCTTATATTCTCTCTAAAGAAATGCCTGGGCAGCACTGGGACCCCAAGGAGAGCGGGGACGGAGGTGGAACGGAGAAATGAAGGAACTGGACCAGGGCAACGTCTGGCTTCTCGTGGAGCACAAGCCAAGCAGTGCTCCGAGGTGGAAGGACCTTTCTGCCCAGCCCAACTCTGCCCTGTCTCACCCGCGTCAAGGAAGGATCCCTGCAGAGGCAAGCGTGGTTTCCATCCCACAAAACCCACATCCCACCTGGCCCCTTTCCCAAACCATTTGCATCCATCCAGCCCTCCAGAGGCCCAGAACCCAGGAGAAACACGTTCATACTTTCTTGGTGGGAACTTTGATCTTCAAGAATTCTGCCTCTCTGGCCAGCACCTGCCACGGGGCGTGTATCCGGACAAAGACGGATCCCTGGTTTTTATTCTGCAAGTACAAAGAAAGAAGAGATGGAAACACTTGTAAGGACATAGCTTAAATTCCTGGTTCCTCAACAATCGCAGACTAGAAGCCCGGACCCGCTGTTCCTTCAGTTTCTGGGTTCTGTTCTCTTTAAACCTCACCAGGGACCAGTCCCGCCCACCCATCAGAAATACTCTCATCAAAAACCATAAAGTAATGTTCCTAAAGCGTCAGCCCGAGACGTATGGTGGCCTCTGAAGAAAGAAGATGAGTTCAAACAATTTAGTTCACAGATTTGAAACGTAAGCAATTATGATTTTCACAGAAATCCCATTATAGCCTTAATCACAATTGACTGGTTTTCCTCTGCTAACATTCAGTGAACAGCCTGCAACCTGTCTCCGTTCACATGTTTTCATTGTTTGTGGTTCAAGTTTGTATTTCTGTTCTCCTATTGTGCTGTGTGATAGCCCCAAATTACAAAAGTGTCCTCGTAAGCCTAAAAGTAATAATATTGATAATAATGCCAACGATACGATGCAAAATAATATCATACACAGAAATCATGATCAGGGCTCCAGTGTAAAGACAGAACATGAACCCACATCCCAGGAAAAGTGGCTGCGTTGTAGGTCATAGATGTCACCCAAAAATGAAAAGCCAGGACAGTAAATGCAGTGATGAGAGCTTAAAAATAAGGTTTTATTGGGCGACCTCTTTGGGTCCCCTCCCACTATGGGAGCTTTTCTGTCCTCTCAGCAACTCCTGCTCTCTCGCTTTCTGACTGTCTGTGTCCCTCATTCTTCCTGGGCACGAGACAAGGACCCCGACCTGAAGAGCTGCAGAAGATGGTTGGAGCCAAATAATAAAAATAAAAAAAAGGTTTTATTGACTCAGCAACTCATCAGCCATGGTCTCCATGTCTGTTATAAATACGTGTCATATTATGAGAGGGAACAGGCCTCAACTTCAAAGATAAACTCAGTTTTTTTTTTCCCAGAACAAGCAAACACGGGGGGGAAAAATGCCTTCTGACATTTATTCAATTTTGTCACTAAAGACTGAAAGAAGACAAAGACAAGAAGGGAAACAGTGGCAAAAGAACCGTTATTGGTGAGACGCTTCTAAAACTACCTGGAAAAGTAATCACAATCACTGTGCTTAAACGTCTTCGCCCTGTTCAGAGCTGGCGACACAACCCTTCACCAAACACGCCGTTCAACCGTGGTTTATTGTTGAAGAGAATAGCAAAAGCCCTCAGCTCACAGTCTTTGACTGTCTGCCTTTGCAGTGTGCCCAGAAGAGAGACAGATGCCAAGTAGAGGACTGGAACTCTAAGGTAAACCCTGGACTTTGGGTGGCAATGATATGTCATCGTAGGTTCATTGATTGCAACAAACATACCACTCGGATAGGGGATATTGAAAACGGGGCAGTCTACACATGTGCAACAGCAGGGAGAATACGGGAGATCTCTGTGCTTCTGCTCAATTTTGCTTGAACCGAAAACTACTCTAAAAAAATAAGGTTTATTTGAAATATGCTGGGGGAAAAAAAGACTGCCTCCCCCACTGAATGCACTCACATATGTCTGTAAAATGTTGAATGGAATAGATAAGATACTTTAGGGCACTCATAATGCAAGTGAAGACTCTTTTGTGATTTTTGAATGGCAGTTCCACAATGTATTCAAGAATTTCAACATCCAAAAACTACTCCACTTGTTTTTTTTGGGGGGGGTGAGTCTCACTCTGTCTCCCAAGCTGGGGTACAGTGGCACACTCACGGCCAACCCAGCGTCAACCTGCTGGGCTCTGGCGATCCTTCTGCCTCAGCCTTCCAAGTAGCTGGAACTATAGGTGCACGCTACCACACCCAGCTAATTTTTGCTTTATTGTAGAGACGAGGTCTCACCAAGTTGCCCAGGCTGGTCTCAAACCACAGGCTCAGGCAATCCCCTCACCTCGGCCTCCCAAAGCGCTGGGATGACAGGCTGAGCCACCGAGCCCGGTCTAAAAACTACTCTACTTTTGAGAATGAAAGCTCATGATTGATATGGTAGACAAATGAAGACTCAACCAGGATTTCACAAGAAGATTTGCATGGCGACGTAAAAGGTTTGGATAGTCTACAGCTTAAAAATATCTGAAAATGACAACAAGAATCATAATGCATGCTTGTTGTGTGTGTATCATGTGCCAGAACTTAATTGGGTGGTCACAGGCTCAGACAACACTCACAGCCATGCCGCAAGGCTGGTGACATCACTATCTATGTTATAAAGTTGAGGAAGGCGAGGCGAGAAAAATTTAAAAGACTTGCCCAAAGGTACACAGATAGTGCAAGAAAAATCATTTTCAAAACCAGGCAGTTTTTGCTCTACCTAATGGATTTTTTCTCTCATCGGAGACAGACATGACATGGGCATAGTTAAGAACCACACCCAAGGGCTGTAACAGAACACAAAGATGTGTTTTTAGTCTAAAATCAAATCGAAGGGCTGACAAGGAAAGGTTGCGGCAGCCCTAAGATGAAACACTCAACCATCCAGCTTCTTTTTTTTGACAGAGTTTTGACAAAATACTGTGACCTTCAATGAGAAATCTCCATTTCCACATCCATTTGTGGCTGGAATACCCAGGACTACTAGACAGAGTCATTGATCACTGGTTGCTATACCTAACTGTAATTTAAGCTTTTCCAATTTAGTGAAAATAAAGGATAATAAAAAGAAGCCATCTGTGGGGCTGACCTGCAAGCCTAGCTCTCTGTCACTGCCCCCAAAATAATGTTTTTGGTGAAAGATGGTGGGGCGTATCATCCCTCTCCCTACAATGAGATCATGGCTATTATGACCATTAATATATTCTCCTTTGTCTTTATTTTAAATTGTGATGAATGCTTTCTTGACGTTCTCTAGAGTTGGTGGCTGGGGCATGTACCAAATGTCCATTAAGTGGGTACAGATGTTCAAAACTGGAGGAAGGGTTGAGAGGACAAGGGTCAAATTCCAAGGCCTTGGTGGCAGACTGCTGGCCGACCCCTCACAGCCATTCTCATGGTCTTCATTTTCAACTGAGCACATGGTCATCCAGAGCCAAGACTGCAACTCCCTTGCAGTGAAGTGTTTTCCTAACAGTAATTTCTGGCCAACATCATCTGGTGAATGGACAGTATCATCGATAGGCCAAAGTGCCCGGGGAACCTTCTTCTGAAGCAGCAAGTAGATGTTCTTTGTCTCTTAATCCCTACTGACATTCATTCTGCCCCGTTGGTGGATTTGGATGCTGGGCTTTACAGCTATGAGGGCAAGTCACCAACCAAATGAGTCTCAGTTTCTTTATCCGAATAAAGAGGATGAGGAAAGATGCAGGACTATTAGGAAGGTTAGAGATAAAAATAGGTGAAATCCAGACCCTCGTTTTCTTTTCTTCCCCTAATCTGCTGCCTAGAACCTGGATACCAGCATTTAGGACCTTGAGGTCAAAGTCCAGGCCAGAAACAGTCAAAGTTCAAGAGATGAGCTGGGTCTAACTCTGTGGAATGTCCTGGGAGCTCTGAACTGCCTCTTGAATTTTTAAGTGAAAGATAAAATCCTATCTTGTTTAGTTAGCCATTGCAATTGTAGAGGCCCAATCGACTGCAGCCTAACTAACGCAAAACTGTTTCCCAGTGTGCGATTGTTAGTTTCCTCCAGCAAAACATCCATTCTTCTCAAGTGGAACTTGTTTTTTGTTTTTTTTTTTTTAGTTGGAGTCTCACTCCGTCGCCCAGACTGGAGTGCAGTGGCCGCTC